TCCCGGCCGCTGCAGCTTCAGAGTGGCCAGGAGGAGAGAGAGGGAGCGCTGACAGGTGTGATCAGAGCTGCCTCTCTGAGCAGAGGATCGGCAGGTATGTTCCCGCCCCCCCCTACCTTGCACGCCGGGTCGAGTAGACAGTGAGGCTGGGTTCACACCTAGGCATTTTTCCGCGCTTTCGTACTCGCGTAAAAACGCTCAAACAGGGAAATGCCATTATTTTCAATGTGCATGGTTCCCATCTGGGCGGTTTTCCGCAAGTACGAACGTGCGGGAAACCGCCCTACGCCCAAAGAAGTACATGTACTTCTTTGGGGCGTTTTGGTCGGGCGGTTCCATTGGGATACAGCCAAGTATCCCTCGGAAACGCGCGTTATTCAATCCGCCTAGGTGTGAACCCAGCCTGAGAGGAGAGCTGCACTCGCATTTTGCAGAACTCCTGTATTGGAGGTGACAGGTTCAATAAAGAGAACCTGCCACCTCCAAATGCTATCACACAGGGGCTTGTTAGCTAGCTCCTGTGTAATAGCAATAAAGTTAAGTGAAAAAAATAAAATAAAATAAAAATTTGATAAAAAATGAATAAACATTTATGAAAAAATAAGTAAAAAATAGTAACTAAAATGATAAAAAGTAAAAGATAGTAAGATGCAAAAATCCTTGCACCGGCCCTGAATGGATTCTATTCTGAATTGAGAAAGCTGGTCGGATGACCAGTGAAACGTCTTCAAGAAAAAGAAATACACCAAATCCAGTTGCCTTGATTTATTTTTTACCGATAGAAACTATTATTATTTAAGCGGTTTCTGACCTATAATTGCTGAGGGCTTCAGTATCTCTACAGCCTCTTCCAGAGTTTTCACAGGAGGGTGGTCTTGAGCAAACATTTCCTTTTCATGATTCAGGTTCCCTCGTCCCTTTAAGAAAACAGAATTTCATGGTTTTATAAATGGAATGTAATAACATTGATCACACACATAGCTTCAGAGGATGAAAATACAGTGTACTTATCTATGTTACCACAAAGCTCTCAGTGAATAGTGATATTCAGCATTAAAATGCATGCATGCAACATTTTTGTTTACCTGCCACATGATTTGTAATGCTGTTTAGCCAATGCTCTGCTCTGGGTACTCCTACCAGACATCATACACAGCTCGTGCACTACTCAAGACCTCTGTCTAGGGCAGGGGTGCCCACAAGGTCGATCGCGATCTACCAGTCGATCGCGTAGCGATCACTGGTAGATCGCCATGTCCTCTCCTCCCGCCGCTTCTCTGGATCCCCGCTGCTCTCCCCAGCGGGGATCCGAGAAGAAGTGAAGGAACCGGTGGCGGGGGAGGGCGGAGGACGGAGCCGCTGTCACAGAACTAATGCAGAGCGGTAAGGAGAGAGAGAGAGAGACGCTCGGGCATTCAGGCACTAATGCAGGCGATCGCACTGTGGGCGAGTGGCCTGCCTGCGGAGCCTGGCTGCGGTGCCATTGACTCCAATGCACCGCCACGCCTCCTCCCACCCCTGAATGCAGGTGTTTTTTCGTTGGCAGATCTCAATGAGCTTGAAAAGTAGATCTCCAGACGAAAAATAGTGGGCGCCCCTGGTGTAGGCTAAACTGCAGGTGAGCAATACAGCCCAATGTAAGACTGATCCCAGCCTGTGACTGGACAATACATTAGCACTATAGACTATCTGAAGGATGGGGGGGGACGGGGACGGTTCTATAATGGTGGAATTTCTAGAACAGGGGTAGCCAAACTTTGGTCCTCCAGCTGTTATGGACATTCTACTAATCCCATCATTCAACCATACAGTAGAGATGAACAAAGGTGGACATATTTAAAGTCGGCCTGTGTGACAACCATGGCTTCCTCCATGGATACAGCGGAGAAGTGAGTGTAGATATTGAGGAATGGGAAGGGACTGAAATCTCAAACTATGTTATCTTCCTTCTGTAAGCTATTTATCCCATCGCTACCTATGTAATGGGAATTAAGGCCGAACAAAGTCCAGCCTGTGTGATAACCAAGGCTCCCTCCATAGATACAGTAGAGAAATTAGTGTAGCCACTAGGGATGCACTGATACCAGGTTTTCGGTATCTAGTACCAATATTATTTTTTTCAGTACTCGCTTATACCGTAAGTCCCATTAAGGAAGCCAGGCGGCGTGTAATGTCTCGCCATCTGGCTTCCTGATTAGCGGGAAAGCCAGGCAATATGTAAAGACTCGTCACCCAGCTTCCCAATCAGCAGCGAAGCCGTCTCCATGCTTCCTCTTCACCAGGTGACAAGAAAGCATGGAGTCGGCATTCTGGCAAATCACGAAGCCGGACGCTTCCTGATCGACAGAAGGTGACGAGGGAGCATGAAGACTGCTTTCTGGCCAATCAGAAAGCCAGGGTAGCGAGTCGTTACAAACTGCCCGGCTTCCTGATTGGCCGGGAAGCCGCCTCCATGCTCCCTCGCCACAAGTGACGAGGGAGCATGGAGGCGGTTTCCCGGCCAATCAGGAAGCCGGGCAGCATGTAATGACGTGCTGCCTGGCTTCCTGATATCGGAAGCTCAAGTTTTGGGCTAGGCATCAGAGCATTGGGGTGAGTACGAGTACTTGACCATATACTTGGCATCGGCGCCGATACTAGTAGCCCTGTAAATTTGCACCACAGAGCCTGCTCTCTGAACTACAACTCAACACCTCAACAATGTAGCAATGAAATGGAATCAATGCATGATGGGATATGCAGTCTTGAGAAATGGAGATTGCATCACATCAAGCAGCAGGAAATGAGACGCAAAGCACACTGGGAATCCAGGAAGTTGTTGGAAGTGATGGGCAGACGGAAGTCAGCGCTCCCTACATAAAAGGGATTTTTTCATGTAAGCTTTGATTGTATTATCAGAGACAACTATACTATGTATTCCTATTACAATGCTGATGTTACAACATGAGGTTATGTATTCCTATTACAATGCTGAGGTTATAACATGAGGTTATGTATTCCTATTACAATGCTGATGTTACAACATGAGGTTATGTATTCCTATTACAATGCTGAGGTTATAACATGAGGTTATGTATTCCTATTACAATGCTGATGGTATAAGGTGAGGTTATGTATTCCTATTACAATGCTGATGTTACAACATGAGGTTATGTATTCCTATTACAATGCTGAGGTTATAACATGAGGTTATGTATTCCTATTACAATGCTGATGTTATAAGGTGAGGTTATGTATTCCTATTACAATGCTGAGGTTATAACATGAGGTTATGTACTCATATTACAATGCTGATGTTATAACGTGAGGTTATGTATTCCGGCTGCAGTCTTATTACAAGTGATCTTGCCGAATTTGCCGAAATAGTTTGTAAATGAACGAGCGGCTTCCCCGCTGTACATTTAGCTCTGCTTGCCCAAAGCAAGGCTAAATGTAGAAAACAACTACCTGCACGACGCCCGGATCATCATGTTATCATTATGTCAGCTAGAAGAAAGTAATTACATGAAGATTGGATACTTCACTGAGAAGAGCCTTTAGCCTGCAGATGGCCCTGAAGATGCCACTGCAATATGTCAGGATTTGTGACATTTGTAATACTGTAAAATGTCACATACAATTACAGTATTAAAAAATTGACAACCTATAATAAAACACACCGTAAGGATTTTATTAAAACAGTTTGCCAAATAGAAGCCTTATATGCCTTTAAAACATTTTTTGGGAATGCAAACTAGCCACAGGGTTTTTGTAAAGGTAGTTTAATATCAAATGTATTGATTTTTGCTTCTTACAGGGTTATTCACAGAAGGGTGAAGAGTTTGGAGGAGGCAGGAGAAGTGAACAATCTAGGACAACATAGCTGAACTGGAAAGTGAGCTGAATTGGAGGATTTTTCCGCATCAGCTATGTTGTCCTAGATTGTTCTTCTCCTGCCCTCTCCAAACCCTTCACCCTTCTGTGAATAACCCTGATAATGTTTCTGTTTAAGGAAGAGGCGCACAAGACAAGAATTTCGGATGCCAGTTCTGTGTAATGACGCAGCTTTTACCTTCACTATTAGTCCCTTTGAATCCACCATCCAGATCCTCTTGATGGCCTCTTCTCTAGGGGTTCCCTCTTTCTCCATCGCCATGATAATGAGGAGAGCAATTCCCATGGCCGCCTGGGGGAGAAAAAACCATTGATAAGTACATACTGATCAGAAATAAAAGGAATACAATGTGGCTGAGGATACAGAAACTGGTTCGCAGAAACAAGGATGTCCCCACTTGTATTGAGACAATTGTTTCTGGTTTACATCTGGTTAAAAGGACACATGTTTATTTTTTTAATCGGCATTAAACAATAACTGTAGTTTCATAAACATAATAGTATATCTGAAATAAATATCATAATGTAACAATACCATGTTGGTAAAATAATAATAAATAGTATAGCGCCCATCACCTTTTGTGATGTGACTACTATGCATTTAGTGATAGCCAGGGCTGTAGACAGCCTGGCTGGATTTGTAGTGGCGATAACATGGTTAATCCCAGGTGTCTAACATCGCCTGTACCCCCCTGGGCGGAGAGTTGTGGGACAGCCAATAGGAGGCCCTGTAATATATTGTGGGACAGCCAATAGGAGGCACTGTAATATATGTACAGTACAGCAGCCAATCACTGGGCTTTTTACAGTCAGTGGTGCCTGCTGGGATAGTGTACATATATGGATGGGAGCCTCCATGTGCTCTCTCTCTCTCCCCGTGAAAAGCCATGGATTAGGGCTGGGTCCTCTTCAGTCTGCCCCCTAGGCTAGGCTAGGCCGAGGCCTGGGGGTGGGCATAGCCTGAAGTGAGGGAAGAGGTTTTCCTGAGGCTTCCAACATGCAGGAGGCCTGAGAGATGGAAAGAGGAAAAGAACCAGGACCAGTGCAGGCTCTTGAAGCACCCTGGAACTATGTGGGCTTCAGATCATGGTCGGTATCTTGCCTGGATTGAGGATCTGCATCCATCTGGACTGTCTGGTACATCAGTGGTTATCTGATGTGGTCGGGCGGATCTGCATTGCTACATTTACAAGGTCCAGTGAGTCTGGAGCTTCTGATGGTTATCCCTAGACACCTAGAACCCCTATACCCTCTCTCCCAAAGAAGATGTTCAATAAACTGTTTACTTAGCATTCTAACACTGAAGTGGACTTCAATTGAGGTGCATCAGAAGAGGGCGGATAGTGCTAATGGGCGCAGCTGGAAATCAACCCCTAGACTGACTAGATGTGGACCGGGCACACAGCGGCTCCCTGCGGGGAGTTATCGCTACAATAGTAATTAGAATTAATTTAAAAGTAGATAAGCAGCATGATGTGTGATGTTGGGGAGCTCACAGAGCACTCGCACAGAGGGTTTTCGAATAAAACAAAAGCTTTTATTTTCCTCTTGCAAAAACAGAAATTTTCCTCTTGACTAACCTTTTCCTACTCTATGCAGAAAGAAAAGTACCCTTTCCTCATGTGATAACGTTTATTCAAAGTGTACAAAATGAAAAACTGCTCACATGTACATGATGGAGACAAGCAGTATAATAAACCATACATGTAGGGCAGAGCCAAAGGAACTACCTCTTTGGGGGGAATCACCGCCCCCCCCTTCCTTGAGGAGAGCGAACATGCAGGCACCATCAGTCAGAATTTATACACTAAGTGGCAAACATGTGATCCTACCAGGAGCCAATCACGATAGGAGCTAATGGGGACCAATCAAATGCAAACAACATAGAGGGACAAAAAGTAGCAGCGCCCAGAAATCATCTCAATAACTGGATGAATGGAGGCCAACAATCAGAGAAAATAACTGGAAAAAAGATGAGATCCAGGAAGGTTATTTTTCCAGTTCTTCTCTCTGATTGCTTGCCACTTAGTGTATAAATTGAGACTGGGGGTACCTGCATGTTAGCTCTGAGGAATAGGGGGGATTTCCCCAAAACGCGTCAGTTCCTTTGGCTCTGCCCTGCATGTATTGTTTATTATACCGCTTGTCTCCATCATGTACATGTGAGCAGTTTTTCACCCGAGGGTGACCTTGCAGTGCCCACCATAGACTCGATGGTGGGCTCTGCAGGTTCTCAGGTGGGCTGGTCACACCCCTGCACACCTCTTACCTGCCAGCCTCCTCCGATGCCGGGCCCAGCCTCCTCCTCCTCTGCTGCTGCTGGCTGTCACTGACTCAGCACCGGCTGTGAGGAGGAACGCGCTGCTGTACAGATCACTGACATGTTGTCAGTGATCTGGACAGTGGCGCGTTTCTTCCTCACAGCCGCCAGTGACAGCCAGCCGCCTGCGATGCCATAGCGACCCAGGTAGCCCACACGGCATCAGAGGGACCCCTTTGTTTCTCGTCCTGGCCGGGCCCCCTGTGCCCTAGGCCCCATAGCGGCCGCCAGGGTCGCTATGGCGATAGTTCCGCCACTGGATGGATGGAAAGACTTCATGACGTGGATTGTTACACCAAACCTGCAACGGCCAAATAAATTCTTCACGCTCTCTGCCCCTTTAACAGCCTCCACCATAGAGGTCTGTCATTTTGGGTGGAGGTCTCTTAATGGGCTATTGCTGCTTTCCGAACAGCCACGGCATTAACTGGTCCAACCTGCATATCAGCACACAAAATACTTATCAAAGCCAGACATTAAAAAAAGACTGCTGGGGATTAGGAACGGAGTTGCTAGATTTGTACGTGAGCCTGTCAACTTATTGGCAGTAGCTGAAAGGATAACAGGACCACATTACATAATAGCTACATGCCAAACTCACATCAAACCCTCCAGTCTGTTTCGGTTTTCATTTGGGAATGGTGCCTAGATATTTCAAATGTTTCTCACCAAAACGTGCCGTGGAAGAGCTGGCCAGCAGCCCGTACATAGCAATCAGTTTATATTTCGTCCCTACTTATCTCAGGAGTAGCAGATAAAGCAAGCTGACTTAAAGGGGTTCATTGGTAAAAATATAGGAATTTCTTCTTCTCTTCCCACTCATTGGCTGCTGTCAGGCTGGATGATACTTCACGCTGCGCCCGGAACCAGGTGAGGGGAGCAGCGTGAAGCATGTAGGGCCCAGGACAGGAGGAAGAGGTCTCGGGACTGACATTAGCGGTTACCGGATAATAAATATCCCGGCAATCAGCGGTTACCAAGGGCCCCTTCCTCCTGTCCTGGGCCCCCTCCAAGTGGCGGAACTCCAGGGCCCGGTCGCGGCCGCGACCTCTGCGACCCTGGTAGTTCCGCCTCTGCACCTACACCAGGCAGAACATTTATGAATGAACCCCAAACTGTATGTAAACCCGAGCAATGAACTGCTCTTATGTTTACCCTTGTAGTCTGTTAAATAGAACATTGAAAAAGTGATATGTATATTCAATAAGTGCAAAAGAATTCAGAGCTGCCCTGTGCTCTCTGCCGGTTTTATCTATATTTAGCCCTTCCAGTTCTTATCTTAGGACTACAAGTAAATGAGTGCCTATGATTTGGCAGCAGGAGTGGTTGAGTAGTTTAGCAAAGGAAACCGGGCAGGACTGACACTACTCAGTCCACTAAAATGCTGTGTGTCGTCAGCCCACAATAGGACATAAAGAGCTGAATGCCATTCTGGAAGGTTTTCGGGTATTTTTCTTTCGTCTTTAACCACGTGCTGTCCGGGGCATTTTCTTACTATTTGCGCACACATGATAAAATATACATTTCTGGCTAGAAAACAGCTTCATACCCCCAAACAATGATATATTTTCTGAAAGCAGGGGCCCTGTAGAATAAAAAGATGCTAGTTGCGATTTTTTTATGTCGCACGGTATTTGCGCAAATGTTTATCAAACTGGTATTTTTAGGATAAAATAAACTAAATAAAAATTTAGTGCACAGAAACAGAATATAATACCCAATTTTTTGGTAAAATATAAAAGACGGGGTCACACCGGGTAAATAGATAACAAACATGTCAAGCCTTAGCACTGCGTTCGCCCATGAAGCCGCAAAAAAACGTAAAAACTTCAATACCAAAATTTCCCATAAGGAACACTTTAAACGCTTTTACCGCTCATCAGTTTAGTGCTAACAGTAATTGTTTGCCCTAGAATTATTGCTCTCACTCCAATTATTCGATATGTAACATGTGTAGTGCAATTGTCGTTTTCCCACGTAGGTGCACCGACGTGTGTTTGCGGGTGTATGTGCGTGGGGGGCAGGGGACTTTAAAACATTTTCTTTTTGCATTTTTTTATGTTTATTATATATTAATTTAGTTTTTTTTAATTTCTAAACACTTTTTTTTACACTAACCTTATTGCTATCACATAGGGGGCTAACAAGCACCCTATGTAATAGCAGATAGGGTGTGACAGGTCCTCTTTATGGAGACATTAGGGGTCTTTCAGACCCCTGTCACCTAGGGACCCCAAAGAACCTGAGGAAGCAGAGATCTGCTTTTCCAGCTTCTTGTCCTGGCTCTGAGAACCGGAGAATGTAAATAGTGACACCGGAAGTAATGTAATCCACATAATTTCGAGGTCCAGTGATCGGAAGAGAGATCAACAGCTGGAAGCCGCTGAATCTCTCTCCGATCGTTGCGGGGAGACCTGCCAAGCCAGTCCTGGGTGTCGCACAGAGATAACGGAGCCGGTCCCAGGTGCCGCACGTGGACACTTTAAGGGAAGAGGAACCCATAGAATCAGATGAATATTGCCTGATTTAAAGGAAAGGACTGGGTATTTTACAGTTATTACTGCATTACCTTAAAGTGTAAACCCTAACAATAAACTGCTCTTAGTTACTCCCTTTTGTTCTGTTACATATACACTGAGTGGCCAGATTATTATGACCACCTGACGTTTGTAGGCAAATTAGCTATAATTTGGCGCTGAAGTTGCTAGAGGGCCAGACCATTATAAATAGGGAAGCAGGTTGGTTTACCACGACAGTAGAAGTGATTTGTTTCTGAAGATACGGGTAAACAACGCGATTTAACAACCTAGGAATGTGGGATGATTGTTGGCGCTCGGAGCCATGGAGCGAGTATCAGCAAAACAGCAGAATTCGTTAAATGTTCAAGAGTAGCTGTTGTTAAAGTGTTTAAAGACCGGACTGTCAGCCGAAAATCTGGGTCTTAACGTGCGAATTGTGGCCGTCAGCGACTA